CCCTAGTGAGTCTGTACTTACTCTCTGCTCTTCTGTAGCCTCAACTCCAGGAGCTATTATAGTGCTTAGAATATAATAGTTGTTTAACAAATACTTAGTGGATGATGAGATGTAAATCTGAACCCAGCTTAGTACATTCTGTATCCTGGACCACCTATCATTAGGCTCATGTTTACAGTCATTTTTACATCATTCCCTTTTAAGAGCATTCCCATTTTTACACCATTCCCTTTTAATAAAGATGGCGGTTCTGTTCTTACTAAATGTACTGGGTTGCACACTAAGCTTAGTCAAGTAGGGTGGAAATGGGAAGTTTGGCTATCGGAATAAAAGATTGGTGGGTAGGGGGAAGAGTGTGAACAGACTGTAGAAAATCTATACAAAGATAGAAATTACATTCAACATTATGAAATCTGTTGATGGTATTGGAATTTATTGTATTTTGATGAGTTGTTGTCTCTGGAATTGTTCAAGTAGAAACAGACCCTCAGGGTTAATTTAAAGGATTCCTTTATCAGACCAGATAGCTCCCATGGAGCCTTCCAAGTCCAAGTTTCTCAGCTCATTCACTTTCCGGATACCTTCAGGCTGTATTTATTTATTTTCTATGTCATAGTATTTATTCCTCCTGCTGAGTACTAGCTTAGCTTTTCACTGCCATGAGTTTAGAGTATGCTCTGTTTACTTTCTACTTGGCTACTTGTCTTCCTAGTCCCTTTGCCACTTTATCTGGTATGTTGGTATCCAACTATTTTAGCACCTTTATTGGGATATAATTTCATACCATGAAGTTCACATGGTTTTTAGTATACCTACAGAGTTCACCAAACTTTATCATAATCTAATTTTAGAACATTTTCATCACCCCCCAAAGAAACTTCATATCCATTAGCAGCCAGTCACTGTCTAATCCTAACCAACAACCCCAGGCAACCACTGTCAATTAAATTTTACATAAAACAGAGCTTACCTTATGTTGTTCTTAAAAGACCTTCAGTATTTTCCTTATCTGTGATTAAGAAAACATGTCTTACCAGAATTCAGTGCTTTCAGCTTGCATTTCCAACTTTATTTACATACTTCCCATCTCATTAACTCTTCTCGGTAGGTTGATCTGTTCCTTCAGTGTGCATTATATCTTCCCTTTGGTTTCCATTTCTCTATCTAAACCTATTTAGGATATGGGGCCTAACTTGAGTCCTACCCTATCTATATAAGTCCTTTCTGAGTAATTTGCCTATTGATTTCTTTGAATGTGAACTTCCATAGCACCTAGTGGCATTCAATTGTAAACTGCCGTGAGGGGCCCTCTTTCTTTGTGTGGTTTGGCTTTGTGTGTGTGTGTGTGTGTGTGTGTGTGTGTGTGTGTGGTGATTGTCTACAGAGATTATAAGTTTCTTGAGGGCAAGGACTATGTATGTTTTTCCTTTCTGTCCTCTGTAGCTTAGCTGAACATGATCTCACTCTCTGCAGTCCCCTGATTACATACTTTTATGGTGTCCCACTGTGAAAGAAACAAGTTCTGAGATGTGCCATGATGTAGCACAGTGATTGCTTCCTCAAGTCCCTCATGGCTTGACTAGGAATGGAAGATGGCATTTTTAGTTTGAAGCCGTTGTAAGAAAAGTAAATTTTTGTTGTTGTTGTTGTTGATTTCTATTAAACTATTTCTTGTCAATGAATGCTAATTGCATGAGAAAATTCTGCTTTGATCACAAGTATTTATTAATAAAAGATCTGTTAAAATTAAGTTTTAATTTGTTGTGAAACATGGAACCAGGACTGCTAAAAGCAGTTCAGTTTAAGGAAATATTCAAGGTGGACTCTCTATGTGGATAATAATTTTGTCAATTTATAATTTATTTTTCCTCCAATGAAATATTAAAGTACAAAACTGAAGATTTTTTTTTCTCTTTGTGCTACTAGGGAATGAACCCAAGGCCTCATATATGCTAGTCAAGCATTCTATCATTGAGCTATCCTCCTAGTCCATAAAATAGAAGAATATTTTTATAGTACAGCTTGTCAACAAGTAGAAATTAGAATCCATTCATGTAACATTTATTGAGCATGGAATAATACTTGGTAATATTTATTAAGGGCTTATGGTTTTCCATGCACAATTCTGAGTTCTATAAGATCTTATATACATTAATACACTAAATATATTGTCTCATTAGTTTTTAAAATAGTACTGTGAGAAGTGGACACTATTTTTATCTCCATTTCTCAAATGAGGAAACTTGAGGGCCACGAACAGCTAAATAAATGTCTTTAGGTCATGTAGCCACTAGGTGTTGTAGCTAGGCAAACCCAGGTTGTATTCAGACCTAGGCAGGCTGACTCTAGAGCTGTCTAAGTTCTAAGTTATGTTCCAAGTGTAAGGAGTTATATAGACTGGGATGACATGAATGTCAGTACTCTTTAAGGAGCTCACAGTCTCATGGCAGAGAATGATTTCAAAACCCACACAGCTGAACCACAGTTTCATGAGTGTCCACAGAGGGGTGAATGCTCAGGGTCACAGCCAGGCAAAGAATGCTTGGTTTCTTTTGCCATGGGACTTAACTCTGGCTGCTAGAGGAGACCGTGAAGCCCTTTAAGGTCAGGATATGTCTTCTTTATATTCCCAGCACCTAGCAAAGTACTTGGCATGTGGAAGGTGATTGATAGAAGATCAACAAATTGGTCATCTATTCTGTGCTGTTTACTATGGTGATTATGAGCCACAGATGGCCACAGAGCCCTTGAAAATGTGTCTAGTGAGAATTCAGATGTGTTGTGAGTGTAAAGTATCAGACTTTGAGTCTTATCTAAAAAAGAATGTAAAATACTTTTTTATATAATATAAAAAATAAATTAATAAATAAACAATAAATAATAATAAATAAATAATATCAATAAATGATATTATTTACTGGATATGTCGGGTTAAAGTATATGATTAAAATTAACTTGCCTGTTTCTTCTTACTTTTTAAAATTTGGACTCTAGAAGATATAAAAGTACATCTGCAGGATGTGACCACTATAAGCTACTGTTATGTAAGAACAAGTTTCATGTGTCTGTTGGACAGCGCTAATCTCATTCACCTCCCTTCAGGAGAAGACCTGACTTGACCAAGCAAGGACATTTTTAAAATTAAGAATTTAGCTGGGTATGATGGTGCATGCCCATAATTCCAGCAGCTTGGGGGAGGCTGAGGCAGGAGAATCACAAGTTCAAAGCTAGACTTAGCAACTTAGCGAGGCTGTCTCAAAATTTAAAAAATGGGCTGGAGTTGTGGCTCAGTGGTTAAGTACCCCTGGGTTCAATCCCTGGCATCATAAACAAATAAATAAATAGGTAGATAGATAGATAGACAGACAGAAAGAAAGAATTAAGAATTTATATCTTGGATTCCCTGGCTTCTAGTTCAGTTCTCTTTCTAGGCTTAACTTAAATTAGTACAATATGAATATATAAATCAAGGTAATATGACATGTCTTTGTTCTTGGCAGTGGTGACATGATATCTCCACATTAGTTACTGTATCATTGAGCTTAATCCTCACTGAAGTTTTTCTTCCTGTTTATATATAAATTTTGAGCACGAGAACGTCTGCATTTTGAGTTCTCAGTTTTTTGAACCTCTCTTCCCACCTTTCCCTGGGTCTTCCTCTTCCCTATCCATACATATATACAGAAGCCTCTATTTCTCTCTTTTAAATTTGTTTCCATTAATATTCTTCAGATTTCCTTAATGCCTTTATTTGTGTTTGAGAGATGAACCCTTTGCCATTATATTGTATGCTGTATATATAACTGGTTATGTTACTCATATGGTACATGCATTATTTATCTCACGTGATCCTCTCAAAACTGTATGAAGTATAGGTCCTGTTATTTTGATTTTATGATTATGGAATCTTAGGGTAGTATGCTCAAGGTCACATAGCCAATGGGCACAAAATTTGTAAGCTGGAACCCTAAGAGAGACGGCAGGAGGCCTCGTGATTTTTCCTGCACATGGACAAGCCATTGTGGAACTCTGGGTCCATGTAACTGAGGAGAGATATATTGGTGTATATGCTAAAAAAGAGATTTAAAAAATTATTTTAAAATGGAGGGGAAAGAGAAAACAGTGGTGTTGGTGGGGAGAATGTCCTCTTTCCTGCTTTGTTTGTCTCCCTCTGACTCTGTCCCCTTTCTGACAGTGGCATTACTCACCTTGCTTCATTTTCTTCACTTAAACTCTGCTCAGCTCAACTCAGTTCATATCATTCTACCTAAATATGAACAGACGTTCAAAATGTTTGCAGAGTGGTTCTCTTTTGATAGAGGTCTGTCAGGTGATTTTAAATTCATCTTAAATTCATTAATTCATTTTAAATTCATCTTTGTTCTCTATGTTATTTGGCTTGTTTTTACAATGAACATCTGCTAAGAAAAATTTTATGAAGACACAGCAAAATTATTTTCATTTAAAAAAAAGCAGTATGATCTTTCATTCCAAAAATAAACTTTTTACCTTAAAATTTTAGAATGCCATAACTTGCTTTCTGCCATTTCATTGTTCTTAGATGGTCTCCGTTTCATAGTCCCCAAGTAAATAAATAACTTCACTCCCCTAGGGCAAGTAGTGTATGCCATCTTTCTTGCACAGAAGTGAACTTACTTCTAGACCTAGCATTATTATTTCTTTAGATGAAAAGAAAACTAATGATGTTTAGTTTTCTTTGGCACATTGCTCTTATACAACAGTAGCACATAGTAGTCACATCCTGCAGGTATTTTTAAATACATTGAATCTAAACAGTCTACCTGCTGTGTTTGTGGCATAATGGGAATAGGAAGGGACCTTGGATCTCATCCAACCCCCATTTGATAAATCTCCTTTCCAAATTGCCTAGCAGGTGGCTGACAAGGGGTGAATTTATTTGCTTTTTCAGAACCTTTGAAAAGTCCATATTTTTCAGTTTGTTTTTCACTACTCAGTGACCTGGTTTGTGTTCTTTTAAGATGCTAGTGATCAAAGAGAAGATGTTTATATTGGAAACCACATGCCTTGCCCCGAAAACCTCAATGGTTACTGCATCCATGGGAAATGTGAATTCATCTATTCTACTCGGAAGGCTTCTTGTAGGTAAGTCAGTGCCTCCAGAGCAGCCGTGGGAAATTATTTCCATCTGTGGTCACTGTTTTATAGAAGGCAGTGAAATGTGAACTAAATATTACCAAAAAGTAGTGTTTATCTGTAATAGAGCAGTAACAATAACAACAAACCACAGCAGAATAATAAAAAATACCCTGGAAAGAAATATGCAGAAACAAAAAAACATGGTTTATTTAGGTTCTGAGATTATGGGCTTATCATTTTTAAGATAATGTTACATATTTTTTAATACAAAAGATAAATATGTCATATTCCAGTTCTATTTTTGTCTTTAGCAATCTGTCATGGAGTGGTTGAGGGACTATAGAATATATTAAGAATAGAGAATATGTAACTCAAATAAAATATATGCTAAAATAGATTTCTAAAAATAAGGGAGTGGGAATGAAGAATCAGGTGTGAGTTGAGAGATGGAAATGGAAAGGGTGTAAATACAACTCCCTGATTCCAGAGAAGTTACGTAACTTGTTCAAGGTCAACAGCAGGTTAGAGCAGGTTAGAAATAGAACTGGGAAAAAGCTAGATCTCAGATTTCCCGATACTCAGCCTAATGATCTTAGTGCCTTTGCTGCTCTGTGCCTGGCGACTGATGGCATTTCCCGGTGCTGCTGCCAGGAGCTCACCCTCTGTCTCAATGTGGCCTGCGTAGCCAGGCCAGGTTTCTATAGACATGGGGAGATGGCTCTCATTCTGCTCACCCCTGCCTCTGGGAGCTGTGCCAGGATCTTTTTTCCTCACTTAGTCAAAACATCAAAACGTGGAGAGAGATTATACTTTGCTTTTCTTCTCTCATCCCAGAAGGCAGCGAGTCTTCCCAAGAAGTAAAAGGAAACTGCTGGACATCACATCTCCTGTGTTCCTTCACTTCTTTAGCTTTCTGCTCCCGATTGTTATTTTCCTCTCTTGCTTAAAAACAACAAAACAAAACAAAGCACTATAAACTGTTAATGGTTGAATAGTTCTTTGTTAAGCCTTTGGTTCTTTCCTGATTGGAAGTTCTCCTTGTCTTTGAAGAAGCTAGCCTTCCCCTCCTCTTTTTCTAAACATTAAAAAAGTATAGCCATATAAGACAGAACAAGCCAGGTTTTAAACCAGTTCTACAGTGGATTCCTCATACTTGTCCCACGGTGGCATAGATACTTCATGAAGTTGTTATCCTGATGTCCTTGAGGCATTTTTCTAGATGTCTACCTGAAGGAGGAGAGAAAATTACATTCTGATAATGACATGATACCAGGCCACTCTCTAGTATTTTAATGATTGATTGTAAGAGGATTGAATGGTATGCTGATTTAAGACTTTGGAATCAGATATACTGACTTGGCCAGTTATTGGCTTTATGTTCTTTGGGAGATACTTAAGATGTCTGTCTTATTTCCTCATTTCTAAAGTCATAATAGTAATAGCATATTGTCTCATAGTGTTGTTAAAATTAAACAAGATCATATATATAAAGTGCTTAACACACAGTATCTGGTATATAGGATGTATTTCATAAATAACAAATTGATATTATGAGACTGTAAGCCCATTACCTCAGGGGCTGTAGATTTGGCTATGGTAGATAGTCAGTAAATATTTTTTGAATGACATGTGATGGTTATCAACTTTGCTTCTTCTCTATAGGAATTTCTTAAATGCTAGAGAATCTCTTTCCTAAACACTTATTACTAAAAAGCAGCTGATAATTTTGTTTTGTCTGAGTATTTACAGTGTATTGATTACTTGGTATTGAATTCTTTCTGGCACTAGGGTGTTAAATTTGAATATAACAAGGTTTTCGGGATTTTTTTTAATTAAAATTTTTTTTTTTAGTTGTAGATGGACACAATACCTTTATTTTATTTATTTTCATATGGTGCTGAGGATTGAATCCACTACTTCACATGTGCTAGGCAAGCGCTCTACCACTGAGCCATAACCCCAGCCTGGATCTCAGGATCTTACCTTCCAAGACCATGTAGTCCAGTGACAGACACTGACAAATAGTAAATAACTAAAATATAATTTGGTAAATGCTATCATATATATGAGGTGTTTTGGGACCTCAAAAGACACTTCAGTCTGAAAGGGGGTAGAGTATATTTTTAAAGGAGGGATCAGGTTTCACAGGAATATTTGTGTCATCCCAGGAATGTGGCTTCTATTTATTTGTTTATTTTGGTACCAAGGATCAAACCCAGGAGTACTTAACCACTGAACCACATTCCCAGTCCTTTTTACATTTCATTTAGAGACAGGGTCTTGCTGAGTTGCTTAGGGCCTTGCTAAATTGCTGAGGCTGGCTTTGAATGCACAGTCTTTCTGCCTCAGCCTCCTGAGCTGCTGGGATTACAGGCATGGCTTTTATTTTAAAGACAGTGAGAAACTATTACTTTACGTATCTTTGTTTTGATCGTATAGGAAAGGCACTCTAGTATTATCTTGGAAAATGGATTAGAAGCCTGAAAGTTAGCCTGGTGTGGTGGTGCATGCCTATAATCTCAGTTACTCTGGAGACTGAGGCAGGAGGATCATGAGTTTGAGGACAGCCTGGGCAACTTAGTAAGACCCTGTTTCAAAACTCAAAATTAAATAAAATAAAAGGCTGGGGATATAGCTCAGTGATAGAGTGCTTTTCAATTATGCACAAGACTCTGAGTTTAATCCCTAGTAAAAAGAAGGAAAGAAGGAGGAATGGAAGGAAGGAAGGAAAACTGAAAGAAGCAAGAGCCTGAATTAAGTCATGGGGTTGTCTTGGGCCTGAGATTAGTAGACAGGTTGGAGACAGAAAAATGAAGTAGTTGAATCTGCAGATACTGGTTAGATATGATGAATGAAAACATGGGGGGGTTGGTGGAGGGTAGGAGGATAAAGAGGTCAGTCTCCTGGGTTTCTGTCTAGAGAAAAACTGAGCAGGACATAGACTGGGAAGAGTGAAGAGGTTTGGGAGAAGAATGGGTTCAGTTTAACATGCTTGGCCTAAGGTGCCTGTGGGATTCTACTTATGGATGTCTGGTAGGCTGCTGGATGTATTTTGTTTTAAGAACCCATGATAGATGTGGGTTGAAGATGTATATTTGAGCATGATTTCATCTCTAGCATGTATCCTTTTGTTTCTGCCTGGCAGTATTCCATCCTGGTGGTCTCTAGTTTATTGATCCTGTCACCTGTTCTATGTCCTTCACCCATTGGATGATCCTCATGATCATTCATTGAGTTGATCCCCTGTGTGTGCCTTTTCCCTCTTTTGTTCATCCTATTCACTTGACAAAGCTAGTTCTCATTCATTCCGGCTTCCCACCCACTGCATGCTGATACCTGTGCTGCTGAAAATTGTGCTGCTGTTGAAAGGCACACTACCAGGTTAACTTACTCACTGATGCGTGTGCCTGTAAGTCTCCAAGTGGGCCCTTCATGCTTCCAGGCAGTCATTTTGTGACTGCAATCCATTTATTCTGCTCTCCTGGATGGCTGCTTTATACCTTCACATCTCTCCTCAAACTGTACCTCCTTTCTCATCCTTACTTTCAACAAATGATCTTGTCTCCAAGTTCACTCAGAAACCTGAAGCAGTATGAAGAGAGCTTCCACAGGCTATTACTGTCACCTGCCAGCAATTTGTTACCTTTTCTTCCATATCATATATCTTGCTATAAATATTTACAAATATTTGTGTTTCTTCCATCTTGAAAATAACCATCTCATTTCCATTAGCTACATTCCTTTCTCTTGTAGAAGAACTTGAGAGTTGTCTATAATCTGTCTTCAGTTCCTCACTTCCCATCTCTTCTTGAACTCACCCCAGTAAGCTTTTGTTCCTAGCACTGCCTGGAGACCATTCTCACTGCTAAAATCAGTCACTGATTCTTCATCTTAAATTACTTTTGAAGGGTCAGTAGCATTTGGCACAGCTGATTGATTGCTTCCTCCTGTGTGATGCACTCTTTATTTGGCTTCTAGGGTTATATTCTCTCTTGGTTTCTGTAGTTTGCTGGACATTTCGGTCTTCTTGGCTGGTTCCTCCTTTGCTTCCTGACTTCCTCGGGTTGTAGTGCTCCAGGGTTCAGTCCTGGTTCTTCCTTAGCAAATCCATCCTGCCACAGGGCTTTAGATGACATATGCTGATGGCTTTCGATTTACATAAATCCCAAAGCTCTCTTCTGAGAATTTGAGACTTGGATCCATCTGCCTCCTTTACATTTTCACATGAACGTCTGACACCTCAATCTCAGCAGGACTAAAGCTGATCTCCTGATCTGCTTCCCCTCCTTTAAACCTATTCTACCTGCAGTCATTGCAGGCAGTCATTCCAGGCAACCTTTTCCATCTCAGTTGATGCCAACTCCATCTCTTCAGTTGCTCAGATTGAACATCTCTGTTACATCTTTGACTTCTCTTTCTCATGTACCCTTATCTAGTGAGCTGGGAAATCCTGTTTGCTTTTCTTTTTCTTTTTCTTTTCTTTTCTTTTTTTTTTTTTTTGAGACAGAGAGAGAGAGGGAGAGGGAGGGAGGGAGAGAGAGAGAGAGAGAGAGAGAATTTTTAATATTTATTTTTTAGTTTTTGGCGGACACAACATCTTTGTTTGTATGTGGTGCTGAGGATCGAACCCGGGCCGCACGCATGCCAGTCAAGCGCGCTACCGCTTGAGCCACATCCCCAGCCCTGTCCTGTTTGCTTTTCTATTTCAGAATATATCCAGAACTTGATTACCTCTCACCATTGTCTACTGCTATTCCCAGTCCAAGCCAAACATTTTCTCCCTCTGGGATTATTTTAGCAGCCTCCTTGAGGTATCCTATAGGCCATATTGAACACAGCAGTCAGAGTGAGCCTTTTAAAATAAGTCCGTCTATGCCATTCCTCTGCTAAGACCCTTCCAGTGCCTCTCCCACCTCACTCAGTGCAGAAGACCCTACACAGTTTGGCTTCTTCACCTCTCTGTCTTGCTCCTCTCTCTCCTGCCACTTCACTGCAGCCACACTTACTGTTCTTGGACACAACATGCATGGATGCTCCCATTTTAGGGAGCTCCCTCTGGTTCTTCCTTTGCCTGGTTGCTCTCCTCCCAATTGTTGGTAAAATCCCTCACTTCCCCCTCATTGTCTTTACTCCCATCTCACCTTCTTAATGAATAAAGCCAAACCCCTTATTTAAAATAGCAGTCGTCCCTTTCTGGCCCAAACACAGCACTCAGTTTCTCTTTGTCTCTGTCTCTCTCTCTCTCTCTCTCTCTCACACACACACACACACACACACACACACACACACCACCTTTTTAACATAACCTGTTAGTTTACTTATTATGTTGATTGATCCACTTCCTCCCATCACAGAGTAAGCAGGACAGCTGTCTTTCTCTCCTTCACTGCTATATCCCATGTACTCACTATAGTAGTGCCCAGCACCTAACAGGTACTCAATAAATGTGTCAGATGGGTGTGTGAGTGAGTCAGCATGTGGGGCCACTGAATGAGAGTACCTGTGGAGGTTATGTGGAATGGAAGAAGTAGAGGGTAGAGGACTGAACCCCCATCTGCCCTTAATGACAGAAGAAGAAATAATTACTTAGAACTTAATACTCTAGATATTAGAGAGTGTGGCTGAAAGTCAGTTATGGAAAATAATATCCAGGGAGGATTACTTGAATGATATCCGGCCTAATGATTCTTTTTGATACTGATTTTAATCTTTGGACTGAACTAATCCATCTGAGAGCTGCATATCTAGGACATGGTTATAGCTCTCTGTGGAACTATTTTGATTTTACTGAGCTTTGACTCTTGGCCATTAGCCTACCATGAAGGGCATTATTTTTAAAATCCCAAGACTTCATTATGTTATTGAATTTACTGTAGCTATGTCATTGAGGTTACTGTTCTCTATATTAGAAGGTGCTGTCTTTAAATGAGGACCAAATGAGAGGAAATTCCCTTGAGTTTAATAACGGTTGTAAATATGCTTATTTGAAATGACTTGTTTGCTTTTATTTTATGGAAATTACTTTTTGTGTCAGTGGCCAACCTCTCTGCCTCCTCCTTCCCTTGATTTTAGAACATTTTCATCATCTCAGAAAGAAATCCCATTTCCTTTAGCTGTTGCTCTCAACTCTTCCTATTTATGCCAGTCCTGACAGCCCCTGATCTGTTTAATGGATTACTTATTCTGAACATTTCTGTATCATTTCTTTTACTTAGTTGATGGTTTTAAGCTTTATCCATATTGTACTATGTCTGAGCACTTTGTTCCTTTTTATGGCTGAATAATCTGTGGGGAATACCACATTTAAAAAATCCACTCCCCAGTTGAATGTTTGGGGTTGTTTACACATTTTGGCTCTTAGGAATAATGCTGTTGTGAGCAATTGTTTGCAAGTTTTTGTGTGGACATATGTTTTAATTTCACTTGGGTAGATGCCTAGGAGTAGAATTGTCAGGCCAAATAGTAAACTCTGCATTTAACTTCCTAAGTAAGGAAAGCCAGACTTTTTTTCCATAATAACTGCATCATTTTATATTCCCTACAGTGTTCTTCCTTACTAACATTTGTGATCATCTGACTTTTAGATTCAGGCCCCATACTATGAGTACAAAAAGATATCTTATTGTGGGTTTGATTTGCATTTCCACAATGACTAATGATGGTGGATATCTTGTGCTTATTGGTCATTTGTATGTCTTCTCTGGAGAAATATCTGTATAGGTCTTTTGCCTATTTCTTTCTGTTTTTTTTTTTTTTTTAAATATTTTTTGGTTGTCAGTGGATCTTGTATTTTATTTATTTATTTATATGCGGTACTGAGGATCGAACCCAGGGCCTCACACATGCCAGGCAAGTGCTCTACCCCTGAGCAACAACCCCAGTCCATTTGCCCATTTCTTAATTAAGTTTTTTGTTTGTTTTTGTTTTTTTGGTCTTCTTATTATTCTTTATATGTTCTGAGTATAAGTCCGTTATCAGATATATAATTTGCAATTTTTTTCTGACTTTGTGGGTTATCTTTACATTTTCTTGATAGTTTCCTTAAGCACAGAAGATCTTAATTTTAATTTAGTCCAATTTATCTTTGTTATTGTAGTTATTGTTGCTGTTGCTTTTGGTGTCACATATGAGAAATTACTGCCCGATCTGGGGTCACAAAGATTTACCCCTATATTTTCTTCTAGAAATTTTATAGCTTTAACTCTTAGCTTTAGATTTATGATCAATTTTGAGTCAGTTTTTATGTATGTTGGGAGGAGGAGGCTTTGTTCTTTTCCATGTGAGTATCCAGTTGTCCCAGCATCCTTCTTTCCCCGTTGCATTGTCTTAGTATTCTTGTCAAAAATCAGTTGGCTATAGATTTGCGGCTTTATTTCTGGGTACTCAGTTCTACTGTCTGAGCTGTGTGTCTGCCTCACTACTGTTGTCTGTCTGTCTGCTTGGAAGCTTAGAGCCCAATGTGAATCTTCCTGACAGGTGTCCAGGAACCTCAGGGACTGGGCTGGTAAACTCATATCACCCTGGCTTTCCTTGTTTCCTTTTGTTTCTGGTATTGTAATGTGGGCTTTAGGCTAAGCTGCCTCAAATCCTTTTCTAACAAGGTCTGGGACATCAATAAATACACACACTGTCCTTACACATCACATATTTTATTAATCAGTTCAAACGGAAGCTTGGCTAATTTATACGCTTCACTTCTGTCAACTTACCAATGTGAATTTTCTGTTCAATATCTTAAATATTCCCCCCTTTTAAAGTATCAGCCAATGATGTTACCTTTGTATTTACTTTTTTTAAAGTTTTTTTAGTTGTCAATGAACCTTTAGATTTATTTATATGTGGTGCTGAGAATCAAACCCAGTGTTCACACATGCTAGGCAAGTACTAAACCACTGAGCCACAACCCCAGCTCCTGTATTTACTTTTAATTAGAGTTCAGATGATTTCTAAGCTTAGTGCCTACTTGACTGCTTTGCTCTGTTTGTCATTAATAACTTATTTTCATCTCCTTCCTGCATCTTAAATGTTTGTGCTTCGTATACTGAAAAGTCTTGAGTATAATTTGGTATTGTGTTCACAGAACTATAAATGTTTATGACTGTTTATTGAGTAACCCAGTTATCTAACTAAGCCTGTGGAATTACCTACATAGAAAGTCACTTTCACAAGGTGCTTACCATACTTATTTTATAATTGCAAAAAGCTACTGATAAGTCTTAGAATGAGGAGCAGATCAGTTAACTGCATTGTAGTCACTGAAGGGAGTATTGTAATTTTATTTTGAAATGATGGTAACAAAGACTATATAATATAGCAACTTCAAATTAATCTGATTTAAAATAAATAAAAAAGGCACTATGTAAAATAGGCATGTCAAAAAGACTATAGGAAAATATACAGATGGCTTTTTTTTTTCTTCAGGTGATAGGAAAGTGACTTTCTATTCCTGTTTAAATTTTGTGTCTTTTAATTTAGAAACTTGACAACATAAGAATTTGCAATTCTCATTGGAATTCCTTTTGTTCCCCTTTCAGATGTGAATCTGGTTACACTGGACAGCACTGTGAAAAGACAGACTTTAGTATTCTCTATGTAGTGCCAAGTAGGCAGAAGCTCACTCATGTTCTTATTGCAGCCATTATTGGAGCTGTGCAGATTGCCATCATAGTAGCGATTGTCATGTGCATAACAAGGTAGGTAATGATGTAAGAAATGTCAGCTCTCATCTGCAGGGTGGGCTGTAGGCTGGGGCTGAACCTCAGTGGTAGGCTCTGTTTAGCATGCACAAGGCCCTGGGCTCAGTCTCCAGCACCCAAACAACATCAGACTTCCTAAAATTGGAGGTTGGTGGCTGTTAAGATACAGAGAAACTTTGAAGCAAACCTTCATGATAGGTGTTTTAAGTTTGCTTCAGTATATTAGGGAAAAGCCTAGGGGTCCATTCCTTGATATTTCAATGTGGGTTTGCCCTCTCTCTGTCTTGCTTCTTTAATACGTGGGTCAGGGTTACAGGCAGAGAGACTAAAACAGTCTGTGAAATAAAGGAATTTAGGGATCTTGGAACTGTGTACTTGAGCAGTGTATTCAGGGACAATAATAATAGTAGTAGAATTTCTAAAATGTTCTGTAGATGTACAGAAGAGCCATGCAGAAATGTTTTAAGCCCTATGGGCCACAATGTGTTTTATGCCCTGAGAATATGCTTTATCTGTAGTACTATAATAACAAAAGAAGAAATCAGAGGTTAAACATGACTACTTTTCTTATTACATCATTGTCTTAACATTGTTTCATACTCTAGATTACAGTGATAAGTAATAGGCTTTAAATTCTGCATCATAAATTAAACCATTTATCATAAATTAAAGGACTTATTTGGAGCACAATTGGCATGAATGAGTGTTTTCCAAACTGAGTATGTCAAACTGAACTAAACCTGAGAAATGTCAGAGAAAATGTCCTCGTACTTCCCAGTCTCCTTTCTTTTTAAATTTTTTTAGTTGTCAGTGAACTTTATTTATTTATATGCAGTGCTCAGAATTGAACCCAGTGCCTCACACATGCTAGGCAAAAACTCTACCACTGAGCCACAACTCCAGCCCCTGTCTTTCTTCTTGCTCTTTCTGTCTCCTTTAAGGTTTGGCACAGATAAACCTCATTTTTATACTTTCCTCCATTTTTTGGAAAGGGGATTGGTGCACATCAAGTACAGATATTGGCAGTCCGTATTGGATTTATGGCCCTTCTAACTAAAATCTGAATAGAAGCCAGCCCTTCAGTAGTCTCAGCCATCTGGAGCTAAAATGATAAATCTAGAAATGATTAAAAAATGTTCTCTGAGTAACAGATATTTTTCATAAAATCAGGTACTAAAGTCAGTGCATTTCATTCCATAGAACAGACGATCTTCCCTTAGGCAAGACTACTGAGTATAAAATTGGGCAGTAGATCAAAGTGGGGACACAAAGACATACTAATAGTGACAATAGGAAGAAAAGATAGGAAAAAATCACACAAAAGCAGGCTGGCTGTGGCCATTTAATATAGGCTCAGAGATTAACTAGTTTGCCTGTGGTCATCCAGTAACTAGTAAATAGAAGTGTCTTGGTTTGAATTCAGTGCTGTCGATTCCCAAATCGTTCATCTTCTGCTGAACCATCAAGAGGAAGGTCCATGGCAGTCATGCTGGGAAATAGATTTGTTAGGCATGCCTATTGCATGAGAACTGGGTTCAAACTTGATTTTATAATAGTCTAGGGTTTTTGAGCAGGAAAGGGTTTAGTATAAACCATTTTCCAAAGCATTAGTCAAAGGGTCATGTGCAAAATTCATTGGAATAGAGAAGATATCTGATATTGGGTGGGGGGGATTATGCCTTAGGGTATTAACATTGGAGTAAAAGCAGGAGTGGGATAGTATGTGATTTGGAAGATGAAAGAAGGAATAAAGGGAAGGAAAGATTTTTGAGGCCAGGTGATAGGCCAACTTAAGAGGATCAACGGATGTTGGAGACACCGAGAAATGGCTTTGGAAAATTCCTTTGAAATTTTGAAATTTGAATTTTGAATTTGAAAAATTCCTTTGGAAAAGTGAGGAAACTAAACTCACTTTGAGAAGTTTTGAGTTGAGAAGTACCTTTTTCAAGGTCATAGAATTAGTTCAGCCCCTTTGTAACCCCTAATTCACCTTTGCCCTACTCTGTGATTCTACTCTCAGTGTGCTGTAATCTTCAACTCCTAAATTAAAATTACCTAGTGGGTACTTGTTAAGTTGGTACCCTCGAGTTTATGACCACGTCCATTTGCTGCCTTCCTGCCCACTTGGACACCACAGTCTTCACTGCCCACTGTCTCTACAACCAAAGAATCATCTCTTTGGCTTTTTGAAAAAAATATTTTTAGTTTTAGATGGACGCAATACCTTTATTTTATTTATTTCTCTAAGTAGTGCTGAGGATCAAATCCAGTGCCCCATACCAGGCAAGGGGTCTACCACTGAGCCACAACCCCAGCCCTCATTGGCTTTTATCACATATTTTTCCTTGTTTTTTTGGTTGTGACATCTCCCCTAGAATGTCTTGCAGTCTTGGATTTGGAATGTTATAATTATGCTTGAACTTATCTCCATTGAATTTTTAAGGAGTGCCTCTTCCACACAGTCCATTGTGGGACAGCTGTCCACATATCACATGGTGTTGCTTGTGATGAATCTTCCTTTAAAAGAATGTTCCCACTGACCAACTTAACCAAGACTGCATGAGCCATCCTTTCTTTCATGCTTGGAATTATCTTTTATGTTTTTAGACTCACAGAATAACAGATTGGCAGGGACCTTCAGTGTCATCCTAGCCAAACTCCCTTATTTTGTAGAAGAAAAACCATGGCCCCAGGAAGTTGGAACTTTTCCAGCACAAGGTCCTAGTGAATTAGTGCTGGTTGAAGAGGTCTACCAGTTTCCTAATTTATGAAATGGAGATGATTCCAGCTCTGTTTACCTCAAAGTAATTTTGAGGATTAGCAAGATGAAACTTTTGAAAACTGTACATAAAATGGAAGTATTATCATCAAGGCTTTCAAGTCAAGGCAAAGCAACTCTTTGAAATTGAGTAAAAGTATGGAACGTGAGAGTAGGAACACTGGTTGTTATAGGACTTTCCATCAGATTATGAATTCCTTTATAACCAGAGATTATAGAGGTTAGTCTAACTCCTAATTTAATATTTTACATAGAGGAAAATTGAGATTGCATAGCAAGTTAGTAGCAAAGTCTAAACCCCAAATTACCAGAATTCATCCCAGCCCCTTTATTCTATTCTACATAATATAGCACCTATGCATAGCAGGAGCTGTTTCCAATCTAGCAGGCAGGCACAAGAGCAGTTATAATGCCATAGAGAAAAATCACAGTAAAATGAGAGCAGAATCCAGGAATATCCCTTATCCTCGGGGTCCCAGTTCCCAAGGGGTTCTGTGGTGTGCCCAACACAGTGTGAAACATCTCCTTTTGATTCTTTTTCTAAAATCAGTAGGCATTCAGGCTGGGGATGTAGCTCAATGGTATAAGTGATTTCCCAGCATGTGTAAAGAGCAGGGTTCAATCCGTAGTACTATTAAAAAAAAAAAAAATAAAGTAACATGTAGAGTAATTCATATCTGAGGCTAATAAGCTTACTTTTCCTGTTATCTTCCTTCATTTAAGCTTGTTTTAAAAATCATTTTGAAGGTGCCATAATGCTCAGGGAAGTACACAGCCAAGGCCCTTTTTGCTGTTACTGATTTCATGTTATCAATCTATGTGGCTGGGGAGTTGCCAGGCCAGAGGAGGGAAGGGCATTCCCTCAGGGGTACAGATGCAGTAGGATGGACACTGGGAACAAGTTCTGTTTGTGTCTGGCCCTAACCATATGTCTGATCCTTCCAGTGTCCTGCTTTTGGGGGAGGGTAGCAACCTGACATTGTGTTTGCCCTCATCTTATCTTGGCACCAAATAGCTTCTTGTTTGCTTGTCATGTGATTGCATGCAATGGGGCTTTATGTGTGAAGTGTGTGCTACTTTGAAAACATTTGAAATATCCTTAACAAAATGCTCAAAATTGTCTTTTTCTTCCTTTTTTTTTTTTCCTTGATGCAACAGAAAATGTCCCAAAAACAATAGAGGACGTCGACAGAAGCAAAACCTAGGTCATTTTACTTCAGATACTTCATCCAGAATGGTTTAAATTTATGACTTTTATATGTACACTGACCATGTGATGTACACTTATTATGTCTTTTTTTAAAGAATGGGAATATTTATTTCAGAGGCCTTATTTTTGGACATTTTTAGTGTAGTACTGTTGGCCTGTATTTAGAATATTCAGCTACAACAGTTTTGGACTGTTTAGAAGTCTTTGTTTTATGTTTTTAAATGCAGAAATTGATTTAACGAATTTGTACCACATGGTAATTCCAAGACTAGTTCTTTACCCATGGAATGTAATATTTTTGCAAAAATGGACCCACTTCACAAATGGTTATAAGGTCATACTCACTTCTTCTACAATAACCACAGCAAATGACCAAGCATGAACTAAAATTAAAGATGTTTACAGATTACTTTTCTTACAAAAAAAAAAATTCTAGAAGACACTGTGTTTAAATAGATATTTAAATGTTTTTGAGATTTAGTACCTGATTTTTTTAGACACTGCCTACCGCATGAACTGTAAAGCTGTGTGTGTTAGATGTGAAATATTTATAAGATGTATGGACTGGAATTTGCTTATTCCTCTCTTTGAAAAGATAATTCTCATAATTTGAAAAAGTACCTGGTAGTAATGATGCGACAGATCACTGAAAAGTAGATTTAGGTGTTGTTAAAATAGGCTTTTAACAAACAGATTGGAATAAAGCCTACACTGTCAGTGAAACTACTTTAATACACATTCATTTTTAAACAAAATATTTGTTTTAACATGCATAAACAAATTGTACCAGTGTTTGTAAATACAAAAATGATTGTTACTGATTGGTGCTCTTAAAGTGAGCTTAAAAATGACCTAAGACCTCTATCCAAATTTGTCCTGTAGTCATAGCTATATTAGTAGATTGTTGGTGTTTAAAGGTCTAAAGTGTGAGTAGACTGTATTGAGCTGTTTAATGTGTAGTTTAGATACTCAAAAATATGCATGTAGAATTTAAAGAATAATGATTGAAATTAAATATTAATTTTAATATTTGGTTTGGAAAAGCATGTTATAATATAATGTTTTCACTATATGGCCTCTTTTGGTGTGTTTATTTACAGTATTCTTTGATACTGATATATCAGTGTATAAAATAGGTAAAGTTAGTAGGAAAAGCAGATTTCAGTTCATGAAACCCCTTTGGTTTTACAAATACTGCTTGAAATTATCTAAAGACAAAAGCTTCAGCCCGTATTTGGAATTTGCTTTATTACTTGGCTTCAAGGCTTAATATTAGTAACATGGTGGCTTTAGTGAACTTTTTAAAAAAGCTTTCCTCTTCTGCCCACACAGTCCTATTTGAGTCCCTTAGTCAGTCAGCAAGCATGTTTGGAACAGTCCCGGGTCTTTTGCAAGGGCTCATATTGCAGAACAGTCACATATGGGTATTTGTCGTTATAAATACTTGACCGTTCTCCAGGGGTGGGGTTTCCAGCCCTTTCAGCAATTCCATTGCCTGTTATTGAGCTGGCTTTGTGCTCCAGGTGTCTGAATTGATTGCAGTAGGACATCTTTCACTAAGAAATAAATAAAATGGAACAGAATGGGTCTGCTTCAAATGCTGATAAAATCCCCCAGAATCGCCTGTCGAGTATTACCGAGGATGAAGACCAAGATGCTGCTCTTACCATTGTGACTGTGCTGGACAAGGTAGCTACCATTGTGGACACTGTGCAGGCAAGCCAGAAGAGAATAGAAGAGAGACACAGGGAGATGGAAAATGCCATAAAATCTGTTCAGATTGACCTGTTGAAGCTTTCACAGTCACATAGCAATACAGGCTATGTCATTAACAAGCTGTTTGAGAAAACACGAAAAGTCAGTGCTCACATTAAAGATGTGAAGGCCCGGGTGGAGAAGCAGCAAGTTCATGTGACAAAAGTTGAAACCAAGCAAGAGGAAATAATGAAGAAAAATAAATTCCGTGTGGTGATATTCCAGGTAAGCTTGCACTTGTGTTCAGTTTGATTTCTGTTATCTCTTATATTCTTTAATTGTCAACAGGTCATATCAGAGGTTTCCAGTGTCACATCTTAGCCATTGTATATATTAATGCGGTAGAATTCTGTATTAGAAGGGACCTCAGAACAAAACCATTTCTATGTTAACTAGTACACTATCTATCATATCAGTATTTTGAGCTCTCAACCATTTCATGTAATGTGAACTGTGTGGCTCATAGCTTAGGCTATTTCTTCCCTTTGAAATTTAATATTGCTGAAGCTCTTTTAGTATATTAGCCTTATTAGCATGATGCCCTCTTGTAGTCTTTGAGAATGTTAGAATTAGAGACCACCTAAGAGATCTCTAGTTTAAAACACCTCCTTGTTGCAAAAAAGAAGAAACTGGAAGGGATGCTTGTCTAGCATGTGCAAGGCTCTGGGTTTGATCAGCTGCACAACAAAAAATGAAGAAGAAACTGGAGTTCAGTACCCCAACAATAATCTTTTTTCTTATCATGGAGAGTCTACAAAGCCCCAAATACAAACTTTTCAGAATATATACTTGTCTATGGGAATTTTTACATTTGTCGTAATAAGAAACAATATCTATTTCCTAACAATCAAGTAATCATTTTTACATTGTTATTATAATACCAAAGATACAAAAGTCACATAAACTACTATTTATCTGATTGCAAAGTCTCTTTACTTAGCTTATTTAATATAATAATATATTGAGCTAAGTTCCTAGAATCCTGCTCAGCACTCAAAATTTTCGAAATAGAAGCATATTCATGGCAAATGCATAATATGTACAATATATTTTTAAAACTCTTACAAATGGAAAGGAAAAGTTGGAACTCTCTTCCCACAGTTTAAAACAAAAACCAGGAAAGTCATTATCTGGCAGCTCACAAAGGATGAAATAAGTAAGAACAGAATTCATCTTTCACATATTTAATAAACACTGGAAGTTACTAAAACATATGCTCAGTTTAAGTGTAGGAGAAAACAACCAGTTTCATGCTCTGCTGGCAGGAGTATTAATTGATGCAACATTTTTTGAGGGCAATTCTGTGATGTATAGTAAAATCTTTAAAAGTACCCAAACCTTTAACTCCAAAATTTCATGTCAAAGAATTTTTTTCTAAGCATGACATCAGAAATATGTGCAAGAATGTTCACCGGTACATATTAAAACTATATTTTTAAGATGGATGCCTGTGTGTATAGGGGAAAAACCATAGAAGAATAAAAACAAAATGATATAGGAAGACAGTTGGATTATATTTGCAAACTACTAGAGATGTGGCCTATAACTCTGCACAGTATTCTCTATGCGTTGGTCAGTTCTCCATAGCCCTCTGTTGACTGATGAGAGTTACACTAGGGTAGTAGAGAGGTATTTTAGATCTGTTTTTAAAAGCTTGTGCTTGTAGGTTAGTTAGGGAAAAGAATAGGAAGGAAAGAGAAGGATGCTGATTTCAAAGGTGGACAGAGTGGACTATTCCATTAGCAGTCTTTACCATTTCGCTTTCCTTCCAGGTTCCTAGAGGCCCTTCTCCAGGCTGAAACATTTCACATCATTTTCAGAGGCCAGGTCCAGGGTTAAGTATGTGTAGTGAGGATCTAGATTTGATATTGAACAATGTGATATCAGTTCTTTGATTCTCCTTCTGAGGGTATTTGCAGTAATGGGTATATCTCATCCTCTGCTTGCACATGGCCTGCCAGGAAACACACTTGGCATCTGACATTTTTCTTGAGGACTTTAGTACAAAGCAGTGGACCAGGTGCTAGCCCAGATTTACACAACTTTCAGTGAAGAGGTTTCCTAAAAGTTCTGTTTGTCCATCAACATATTTCCTTTATTTTAAGTTGCTATGTTTCTGTATTCACCTGTTCATTCCCTATAACTTACTAGCAACGTACTCTTTTTTTTTTTTTTTTTTTTTTTTGAGCCCCTAGAGTTACTTAAAGGAACTGAGAGATACAGTTTAAGGCAAATCTCATTTCTTGTAAGGTATAATATCATGAAGATTTTGTGAATTAAGTTGTTCAGAGTAAACAGTAGTTTGTCAAAAAAAAAAATTGCTGGGGCTAGGGCTATAGCTCAGTGGCAGAGCGCTTGACTAGCAAATATGAGCACTGGGTTTCATCCTTAGCATCACATAAACACATACGCACGCACACACACACCACAAATAAAATAAAGACATGCTGTCCATTTACAACTACCAGAAAAAGTTAAAAAAAAAAGCAACTGCCATTCTTCTATAAGCAAATAGAGAAAAGATATTGACATTTAACAATGGACATAGAACTTGGATTCATAAATTTATTTTATGTTAGAACAGTGTATATGACATGCACATAGTTGGTTGTTATTAGTTAAAATTTTCATAATGTGTATAAATGATTATGTGGAGACACTCCCTCTACTAATATTTTCTTGGCTGTAATCTTTTGATCTCATATCTCCTATAGTTGTGTATGGCTAAGTTTCCGTCCAATCCTGAACATTGGCATTTTAAAAAGTACCTGGCATTTCTTAAACAGTTACAATGTGAACACATTTTCATCATGACCCCTCTCATCCTGCAAGCTAGGAATTGTATTATATCTTCTTGTACTTGTGGTATCAGAAACATAAATGGCCAAGGGAGATATTTGACTATTCCCTTAGATTCTTATATGTTCCTAAAATCCCCTGGATATATGGATGTTCAGTCAAATTTAGCTTACTCTGACCCTTGAGTCAAAAACATGTTACAAAAAAAAATTTTTTTAACCTGGACTTTTATAAACAAATATAATTGAAGATCAACTACAATCTTTGATTCTTCCCATTAACTCATGGTATTGCTAACTCAGAAGAGTTGTAACAGAGTTTCCATAGCAACTACTTTTTCTGACTCTGCATCTGTTTTACTTTTATTTGGGGGGTGGAGGTGGGGTACCAGGGTTTGAACCCACAGATGCTTAACCACCAAGCTATATCCCCAGCCCTTTTTATTTTTTACTTTGAGTCAGGGCCTCACTAGGTTGCTGAGGCTAAGTTTGAATTTGTGATCCTCCTGTCTCAGCCTCTCCCAGGCCACTGGGATTACAGGCATACACCACTGTCCCTGGCATTTTGCTTTGGTTTTAAGCCTGATTTTTATACTATTTGTTGTGTAGTTGAGGAGAGGAGTGTGTGATTTCAGAGGCAAGCTATATCTGAAGTTTTCATAGCAAGATTGTGAGGGTTTTTTCCCTACCAAGCAGTAATTACTTTTCCGCTCCTTCCTTTTCTAATTATACCTTTTTTAGGCCAGACCAACCCACACTGTGTTGCTGAAGCTACTCCCTGCAGCAGGTGTCAGGAAGGGGGTGGGGGGGGCTACTTTTGCTGCTTCTGATTCATCAGAGAGTTATGATACGCCCACCTCTGCTTTTTTTTTTTTTTTTTTTAAGCTCATAGACACTGCAATCCTGTAGCCAAAGAATGTAATTGAAGTAAGTATTCAAAGAAATAAGGTTCCAGGGATTCCTTCCTGACTGTCAGGCTAAGTTTTAGAATATGTGTATATGTGTTTCTAGTGTATTTATTATATATTTTTTAAAAAAATTATATTTTAGTTGTAGTTGGACACAACACCTTTCACTTGTTTATTTATTTATTTTTTATGTGGTGCTGAGGATCAAACTCAGGGTCTCACACGTGTGAGGCGAGCACCTACTGCTGAGCCATAACCCCAGTCCCTCTAGTGTACTTATTATATCTTAATTTTTTTTTGTTATTGTAGATGGACACAAAATACCTTTATTTTATTTATCCATCTTTATGTGGTGCTGAGTATCAAACTCAGTGTCTCACATGGGCCAGGCAAGCACTGTACCACTGAGCCACAACCCAGCTCTCTCTCTTTTTTTTTAATTGAATAGAATTAATCTCAAGTAGGAACAGTTTCTTTAGAAAACCGTCATTCATGGTGTAGTTAAAAACCTCATGGTCTTTAAGTTTTGCCTGTTTATTTTTAGAAGTGATCTGTAAGTATTGAGTTGGGTTTCTTTACATCTGTGGTCTGGTCTAACTCTCAAGGCCATCCGTGTGTGTTATGTTTTCCAGTTCAATTCTCATTCTTTTGACATATCTGGCATTGTTGGTGCTGGAGGAATTGAGAGTATTGTGTGTTGCTGGTCTGGAGAAGTGGAAAAGTAGGGTCAGCTCAAACTGAAGAGGTAGAAGTAAGGAATTAGTGAACAGGTTCAGGCCTCAGATGACAAGGACCTGAATTAAGACATTGGTAGAAAAGTGTGAAGGGAGAGGGGACTAGGTGAGTTATCACACACAGTGACAATACTTGGCAAACTGTTGAATGTGGGGCAAGAAGAGGAAACTTTGGTGTGACAATTCTGAGGTTTCTGTCTTCTGTAGCATGTGGATGGTTACTGGTGCTGGGAGGTACAGGAAAAGTGAAGTGGAGAGGATGGTGGGTGGGTGTTGATTTTTGGACTTGCTCAGTTTGAGGTGTCTGTGTTATATCTGGGTGGAGCAGTCTGATCATCATTTAGATGGGTCTTCATCTTAGGAGAAGGGGGAAGGTGAAGATAAAGTGTGAGAAAAGGGACGACGAGTGAGAAACCTGAGAAAGGCCAATTAAAAATAATTTTTTTATTCCAATTTGTTAGATGACAGTGGAATGAATTACAATTCATATTACACATATAGAGCACAGTTTTTCGTATCTCTAGTTGTATACAAAGTATATTCGTACCATTCATGTCTTTATACAAGTGTTTTGGATAATGATGTCCATCTCATCCCACCATCATTTCTAACCTCATGCCCCCCCACCCCTCTGCCCTATCTATAGTTTATCTATTCCTCCCATGCACACCCCCTCCCTACCCCACTATGAATCCACCTCCTTATATCAGAGAAAACATTTGGCATTTGTTTTTTTGGGATTGGCTAATTTCACTTAGCATTATATTCTCCAACTCCATCCATTTACCTGTAAATGCTGTGATTTTATTCTCTTTTATTGCTGAGTAATATTCCATTGTGTATATATAGCACATTTTTTAAATCCATTCACCTACTGAAGGGCATCTAGGTTGGTTCCACAGTTTAGCTATTGTGAATTGTGCTGCTGTAAACATTGATGTGGCTGTGTCCCTGTAGTATGCTGTTTTTAAGTCCTTTGGGTATAGACTGAGGGGAAGGATAGCTGGGTCAAATTGTGGTTCCATTCCCAGTTTTCCAAGGAATCTCCATACTGCTTTCCATATTGGGGGCACCAGTTTGCAGTCCACCAGCAATGCATGAGTGAGCCTTTTCTCTCACATCCTCGCCAACACTTATTATTGTTTATATTCTTAATAGCTGCCATTCTGACTGGAGTGAGATGAAATCTTAGTTTTGATTTGCGTTTCTCTAATTGCTACAGATATTGAACATTTTTCACATGTTTGTTGATTGATTTATCATCTTCTGAGAATTGTCTGTTCAGGTCCTTGGCCATTTATTAATTGGGCTATTTGTGTTTTTGGTGTTTAGCTTTTTGAGTTCTTTGTATACCCTAGAGATTAATGCTCCATCTGATGTGTACAGGGTAAAAATTTGCTCCCAAGAAGTAGGCTCTTTATTCACCTCCCTGATTGTTTCTTTTGCTGAGAAGAAACTTTTTAGTTTGAATCCATCCCATTTATTGGTTCTTGATTTTAATTCTTGCACTATAGGAGTCTATTTTAAGGAGCAGCAGAGAAAGGATTATGGAGGAGGTCTGCAGGTTGACCATAGGTAAGAGTTTTTCTACTACAAATGAAGCACTAATATACTTTTTTTTTTTTTCTGTCCTTCAGGAAGAGATTCGGTGTCCAACATCTCTGTCTATTGTTAAAGACAGAAACCTAACTGAGAATCAGGAGGAGGAAGATGAAGCCTTTGATCCCCCAATAGATCTCTCTTCGGATGAAGAATATTATGTTGAAGAAAGCAGATCTGCCAGGCTTAGAAAGTCAGGCAAGGAGCGCATTGATAACATCAAAAAGGCATTTTCCAAAGAAAACATGCAGAAGACACGGCAGAATTTTGACAAGAAAGTGAACAGAATTAGAACTAGAATAGTGACTCCAGAGAGGCGAGAAAGGTTAAGGCAGTCGGGGGAGAGGTTGAGGCAGTCAGGGGAGAGGCTGAAACAGTCAGGGGAGAGATTTAAGAAGTCTATTTCTAATGCTGCTCCCTCAAAGGAAGCTTTTAAGATGCGTAGCCTGAGGAAAGCAAAGGACCCCACAGTGACCCAAGGTCTGGATGGGGACAGGGAGATGGGCGTGGATATCATTGCAGGGAGCCCATCTCTGGGCCCTGTCCATGAGCTGCACACTGATGAGCCCAGTGACACAGAACAGGAGGCCACCAGGGTGGGGTATGCTCCCCGAGAAGGAGGGGACGTCCCAACCCCAGAGCCTTTAAAGGTTACTTTTAAACCTCAAGTGAGAGTGGAAGATGATGAGTCTCTTTTGTTAGATTTAAAGCAGTCTTCATAAAGAGGAATTCAGAGTCAGTCTACATCTCCTTAATCATGCTTTTTTAGTTTGAATAGTCATTTATTTTTATGCTGTGTAAGAAAAAAAAATGATAGGGCTATTTCATTTCTTATGTTTAAAATCTTGAAGATCATATAAATGTTGCATACTTTTGTTTGTAACTTCCTTGGGAATTCTGTTTCCCCTGAGCCTGTATGATTCCAGCAGCTTTTTCTCTTACATCATTCTTTCTTGTGGCAGCTGTGGCTTTTTAAGTTTAACCTTTCTCTTGGACATCAGGAAAGTGGTTGCCTAACTCAGGCCAGGTAGATGTTTGGGCATCCAAAATAAATGAAGGACAAATTTGTGCCCATCATTTCCTAGTGAATTCTAAATTTTGGTTTAGATTAATGTTGTAGCCAATCTCAAAGGGGAGACTATAACTAATCCAGATGTTTCAATCAACAGGTTATTTTGTAAGTAAAGAGTCACACCCCTTTTTGAAGCTTTTGCGTTAAAAAAAATTGAAGTTCTGAACTGGAACATTTGGTTTTAGTGTCATAGCTTTATTAATGGTGAGACACCTGGTGAGTCATCTGCTGAATCTCATTGATAGACATGGAAAGGGTTTGTCTGTCCTACTCAGAGGGCTGTTGTGAGATCGGGAAATGTTACACATTCTAGGGGAACAAGAAACACATCCAGAGAAACAGAAACCACACTCTTCCCTCAAAACCAGAATCAAATACTTAGACCTTCTGAAGAAGCCCTGAGCACCAGGCACTGCAGGCCTCGGTTGGACAGAAAGTAAAGTTGGTCTTCAGGAGTCTTCACAGAATCAAGAGTGAAAAATAAATGACCATTTTTTTTTTTTCACCAAAGACTAAAACCAAACTTTGGGTTTTAGGTGGGTCTTATAATGTTCCCCGGAAAATCCTTTTCTATTTTTTTTTTGGATTTAGATCTGTGGTGGACTATAGCAGCACCCCCACCACCCCTGTTCTGGGGATCCAACCCAGAACACTCACGTACGCCAGGCAAGTGCTCTACCATGGAACCACATCCCCAGCTCATACAGCAACTTTGGTTTGAAGAGCATGAGATGTAAGAATGTGGCTCTGTTGTCAAGTGGCCTTTCTAAAGTCAGCTGTGATGCAGTGGATTTGGAAATGACCTCCAAGGTTTCTGTTTCCCAGAGTGAGCCCTTCAGGGCCTAGCTGTCTAAAACATGTTTACAGGCATTCATCATAGCTGCTTTGGGGAAACCAGATTCCACTTAACTGTTAGCTTTAGATCTGTGTAGTCAGGAAGTTAGCTGTTTTTTGCTAAAGAAAGAAAGAAAGGGTCATCTGGTTCTGTACTTACAGCATTTTAAAACTTCTGCTTTTTTTTTTTGTTATGAAAGAAATGATGAAATTGTTAGAATTTGAAGAGTTTGACAGTAATTGGCTATACTAATTTCCCTCACTCAGATCAGTTTTGGATAATCATGTAGAGTTAAAAATAATAAACATAGACATGTACACACAGGCACACACAAATCAGCTTTAAAATATTTGACTTAGTTACCCAGATGTTTGAGTTTGGGAGTTTGATTTAGCGTGATTTCTCTTCATTCTGCCTGAATACATAAAATCATAAATTGTTCATCTCATTATCTTTTTATATTGAAAACTAAAGTGTATACAACATTGAATAAAACTTTGAAAGAATAAATCTGAAAACATTTTTATTACAGCTTAAAAGGAGCTTGGATGCCTTAATCATACATTTTCTTAAGAGCCATAATAAATTTGAATTTAAAAAGACATACTGCAAAGTTTGTTGTCAGTGTCCTAGTTATAAATATTTTTACTAATCAAACAACAACATGCAAACAAAGTCTGATGTAGTAACCTTTTTGTAGCATGTACATTTCTAAGGAAGAATGTAAAGAAATTAATGTAAAGAAGTGGCAAGTTTTTTTCTATCACTAGGTAGAATATTTATCAGTTGGGTTAAAACAATTTTTTTTTTTTTTTGGTAAATGTTACTGTCAGGGAATTTTGCTTACTGACCATTATATAAGCAGACTTGACATTTTATGGAACATTTCTCATATAGGTGCATTTGAATTTTGATGAGGAAGTAGTTATAAACCGGTCAGCTCTTCTTCATGTTAGATTTAGTGCAACCCTGGAAACCACTAAAACAATTTCATGTCGCTGACGGTTCATAGTAATCCTGTACTGCTTTCTTGCTGCTCAGGTTTTCCATGTTTCTTCTGTCTCTTGACACTTCTTCTTATATTTAGGGCATTCCTAAATTCCACATTGATAATTTCTTCTACTCTCACCCTGTTTTCTTGGTATAAAGATGATAATTTGCAAAATCATGCATCTTATTTAATGTAAGGGATATTCCAGGAAATATCTTGTTTTAAAAGCTTAAAACAACACAGAACAGATTACTGATGTACTTATCTCTTTTAGAAATTATATATACCAGACTTTAAACAGTTTATTTGGATGAAATCATTAGCAACATTTGTCCCCTTTCTTGGTACGGGTACGAGGCAGAGCAGTACAACACTCACACAGGAACATGGAGCCCACTCTGGTGCATCTCCATGGAGTGGACAGAGGAGGGAAGGGAAGTGCAAGTCTGTCTCCTGTATGTGATAATCCAGGTGTTTTCCTTGTCAATGGATAGTGGCCCAGTTCTGCATTATAGGTTAGAGAAATAGGGCAGAAGTGAAATAAAGTACATGAAAGTTGAGCATTCTGAGAGTGTATTATGTGGGGATTCCTGTGAGCTCCCCAAAAATGGAAAATAAAACCAGAATGAAAGTGCAAACCATTCTAACTTCATTCTTTGCCTTCCATGCACATTAAAGGTTTTGGTTTAGAACAAGGCCCAAAGTTCATTGTAATTCTTATCAACTAAAAAACATGGATTGTGTTATGTAAAATATTTCTCAGGGCCATTGTTAACTGTGCAATTCCATTAGATAAAATCATGGGTCTGTTTTTTTTTTTTTTTTTTTTTTCTGCTGCTGAGACATGTTTTCTATAGCTGCTTTTATTGAACCCTGCAAAGAAAATTCCAATTGGATAGATTCCAATCCCCAAGTAAGGGGAATGAAACTGTTAGGTTTTTATCTTAGATCTGTTTGAATTTGAGGTGTGATAGTATCTGGTCTGTAGTGAATGAATAATGAAAAAGCTTCATGTAAAATTTCGGGTCATTCTATGGATCATCTCTGAGTTATGTCATGGCTGAGGGGATTTATAGCATTCCTTTCCAAGTCAGAATCTATCAGTGTGCTTCTTGAGTGGTGGATAGGAGGTCTAGGATAACAGCTGCTCCACTGTGAGTCTATTAGGACTGATTATAGAATAGAGTAGCAGAATATCTTTTGGCTTTGTATTTACTTTGTATGTTTTCCTAAAATCAGCTGTGCTCATCACCCACTCCTACCCCTCTGTTCATTACTGTGCTACTTGATACTTAGGCTGTATGTCTTGCCTGGAGGGTCACTTTTCCGTTTGATTCTGGGATATGACTTTCAAGTTCAGCAGTAATGTCAGTGTCCTTGTTTTAGCTTTGTGATCATCCCCTAGGGAAGGCATGTTTAATTACTCCATGTATTGAGTATATTTAGCAATACTGTGTGTCAGATTCTGTGTGAGGAACTAAGGATTCAGAGACAATAGGAATCTCATCATCTCCTTCCCAATCCTTAGTTTTGGAACTTGCAGTGTTCTGGCAGACAGTCCAGCAATAATTGAGCAATGTGACTAGTGCTATGTATAAGATGGTGGAACTGTAGAGATGGGGGGTATTTATAGAGCATTTTGATCATCTGCCCTAGCACGTGCAGTGCACTGTGGTTTATTTGTGTAACTGTCTTCTAAACTAGACTGCTTCTCAAGGATAGGAACTGTGTCTGCTCATCTTTGGGTCACCAGCACTTGGAGAGCCTCCTGTGTGTCGGTGTCCTGTATCCTAAATCTACAGATGAGAGATGTGGTCGCTGTGCATAAGGAAGTTTTCTCCTGGTGGAGGAGACGGATGTGTCATGCTCAGATTCAAGATAGGATGATGGGGAGCTGAGGGAACACCTCACAGTCTGGGGAAAGGCTGTCAGGAACAACTAGAGAAAGTACTGTTTAAGATGAGACACTTCGAAGAATCTGAAGCCAAGTAACATGGAATTCTAGACAGGATGCAGCTACCGAGGTTGTATGGTGTTTGGAGTTTTATATCAAGGGCCATAGAGAGCCATGGAGAGATTTTTAAGTCAAGGAGTGATATGGAGGATATTTCAGAAAGGAGACCCTTAACACACCAGGGGCAGAGACCATTTTTCTAGTTGGGAGAGCAGTACTGGAACTGAGATTGTGGAGGGGGTAAACTTGGGCCTGGGTTATGATGGGAAGCAAGGGATTGCTGGCTTTTGACTTGGACACATAGCTGTGCCAATCAGTGACACAGGAAAGGCCAGGTTCTGTGACTTTAGGCATGTTCCTGATGCTCCTCTGCTCTGAGCCTTGGTTACTTGTTCCTCAGTATAGCTGAGCCTGTGCTCAGATCTCCTATGCTAGTGCTCCCTGCAGCCATGGTGGCTCTCCCTACCCTGGCAGCAGCCCTGCATCCAAGAGCTCCCTTCCTGGTTGTAATAAGCACCTCGCCCTCCCCCTCCATCTCCTGGACGTCCAAGTCCTTGAGAAGCAGAACCGTCCTTTGTAGGCCATTAAGAGCTTCTCCCCCATCTCTTTCTTTACCCAAGGCCAGAGTTCTGCTTGCTCATTGTGTGTTCCAGAAAGAAAACTACTGCTGTTTTTTAGAATGGATTGTGTTTTTTTCCTCTAACCATTTATGAGCACCTGAGAACTCCAACCCAAGCTGTTCTTTATTTCAGCTGTCACCACAATACGAGCTTCTGTAACCTGCTACATCAGTGAAGGCCAGTTGCCCAGATACAGGTTGCTGCTCAAATCAGCTGCCATGCTTTGCAGCAAGAGCCTCCAGCTCCTCATGGGTTCTTTGTTTTCATATGTGATCCCTCCGAGTGTCTGTCACATTGGTTCTGAGTCACAACATCAAAAATGTTTTAGGCATTCAGGATGGGTTTGGAGCAACCATTCTTCTGCCCCTCCAACATTTTGACTGATGGAGGCTTCATACAGGATTGGGCAAATGTCCAATAAATCCCCCAAATATAGGGCATCAGGCAAATTCTCTATAGAGCCAAGACTGGATAAATCCTCTCTTGTCCCTGGGACCCACATGCCCTGGTGTGGCAGCAGGGAAGAGCATGGTTCCACGCAGAAGGCACAGTTCCTTTCATCAGTGGCAGGGATGCCCACAGGCCTGCCTCATATTCAGCCAGGGAGGGCAGTGGCATTGGGGGCCTCCCCTCTTAGGTGACTCCCAATTTAATTGGGCACATAGCAAGAGATAGGAGGTGGAGGGGTCAGAACCCTGGGCCAGAAATATCCATACCACTAGGATATAAGATCCAATTTGAAGGCTGCCTATTTTGTGCTTTTGAGGCCTTGTGCAGAGTTAAATGTAGCCCAGTGAACTTGGCTGTTACTTCCGAGACCTGTTTAGACACAGAGGTGAGGTGCCAATTTTCCGCGAGGACCAATGGAAGTGGGAAGGCAAGTTGGTCATTACAGATGACAATCCAGGAGAGAGGGCAGGATATGCAACTTGTTAAAATATAAATATGTGACGTGGGTTTTCAAGAGAAATTATGGCAGTTAGAAGGAAGGAGTAAAGATTTTACAGCTGTCTAACTTGCAAATTAAGCTTTTCTTTTGAATAGTTTTTATTGTCTTTTCAAGAAGATTTTCAAGAATGAGCACCATAGTCTATAGGTTTTGGCTCAGTTTCTTGCTGTGAGTCCATTAAGGTATTATTTCAGTCCTGGCTGAAATTTGCCCACAGCATAATGTGAAGCAGCCAAGTTATCCCAATAATCTCTCATAGGCCAGTATTTATAAATTATCAGGGTCTCTTTAGATCTATTATCTGAACAAGATTCAAATTCCCAAACCCTGGTTATGGTTTTTTTTTTTTTAAGGGTAAAGTAAAAATCTATTGAAATGAATGTGTCACTTGATTGTGTTAGCACCTTTCAAGTGGCCAATTTATTTAGAACATTCCCATAAGGAGAAGAAATAAATTAAGTGAATTATGCATGGAATGTGCTTGGTTCTAGTTCAAAGCAGTAGAGAAGATTTCAGAAGGAAGCACTGATATGCTTGTCAACTGTCAAAATATAGGGCTAAATTTTCTTTTAACAGGAGAGAAATATCCAAATAAATCATAGATTGTAAATTCATGAGGGAAATATACCAAAATATTCTTGCTTGAAATTCATGCATCATTTTTCACAGAGAAATCACAGAAATCTGTGTTAGATAATACATTCACCTAAGATTTACTAGTTATTCTCCCATATTAAGAGAAGTTGTCTTCCAGTAATAATCTGCTTAAGCATCTCTCCCCATCCCTTTTCCTTTTCCTTCTAGGATGATGGCACCTGTGAGGTTAGAGTCGCTGGAGAGAGGCTACAATTGGTTAGGGTCCAAAAGAGCCTGTGGTTCACTCCTGTGGTTTGATGAAAACTAAGCCGTGTGCATTTAGTGGATTTTTTTTCCTGAAATTTTCTCAAAATTTTATGCAGAAAATATGGCTATCACATTTTTTTTTTCTTAGCAGTGGCATGAGGTGTAGGAATGGGAGAATGGAATGGATATCATGAAACTTAATCATAAGTCTTCTTATAGGAAAAAAAAAACACCTCTCATAGTGAATTAAGGATCAAAGCCAGGAATATTTTAAATAGCGCACACTGAGGAATCTGGAGAAGAGTAATGGAGTGGTCTTTTGTCACTGGGGACTATCAAAAGAAAATGAGTTTCAAATGCAGGAGAAGGGATTCAAAGGTTCCTACTCTACAGAAACATCTTTCCAGGGAGGTTTTAAGAATTGCACAATCTTCTTTTTGGAGGCAGGTAGTAAATGAAGTGTCTAGGGATAAATGCATGCATCATATCTTTTGTTCCATTGTTTTTCATGAATGATGTGCAGCTATGACTCATACATAGCTCTTTATGTAAAGCATTTGATACTATTGTGTGTTCTTTCTCTGCGATACTTTGAGTTATGTGGAAGGGACTTAAAAGCTGCATTTCTCATCAGCAAGATGGTATCTCTTGTACCTCTCACAGTTCAGTGTCTTTTAATATTAGAAGTTAATTTAATATTAAATATAAGTATTTACTGAATAAAGACAAATGTCTCTGAATTCTGACCTCTGAGTATCTTTGATTGAGGTCATTTGTTTTTTGATGGGTATTTATTGAACACGTATGAGTCTGGTACTGTTCCAAGACTAAAGCAGACAGTCCCTGTTTTCTGATAATTCCAGAGTGACTCACAATTGGTAAATGAATATGATAATAGTGAATGATGTTAAGTGTTGTGAAGAGAACTGAGAGCAATGAGTAGAGTGTTGTGGCAGGGCAGAGAAGGCTACTGCTCTTTTAGAAAGGGCGTCTAGAAGGCCCCCCTGATAAGGTGGTCACACATCTTGAATCTAAGGAGTTAACCATGCGGGTGTTTCAGGAGACAGCATGGCTGAAGTGAAGGAAGAGTGGGAGGCTGCCAGTGTTTAGGCTGTTGCAAGGTTTTTCTTCTGAATGAGAAGGGGACTCACTGGAGTATGTTGAGCAGAGGGACATGCTCAACTTTATGGCATTTTTACTTGTTGAAAAATCAAATCATGCCTTGCACACAAAGAGCTAACTACAGTTCTCCTCTTGGTTCACACTGCAAAGGAAATCACCCAGACTCCAAGTGTTTGCCATTAAGAGAGTCTGGGCTTACGCCTTAATAGTTTACCTGGCTGTGGTCTAACAAACACCACTGCAGGTCAAGGCTGACACCTAGTGGACACGTACATAATTGTTTCTACACTTGCAGTTTGGAGTATACCAGCTCTTGGTTAGGAACTGAGGGCACACACTGGCATAGAAAATCCCAGGTACCTGGGATGATAAAATGATCATAGTTTTCTTAGGAGGAGATTGCTGTGGATTTGCCTCATTCCTTTTTGGCCCATATTCATGTGTTTGTATTTGTTTAGAGCTGGTGGGCTCAGCTGCCAGAAGAAGGGGACATCAAAATCATGGGCTGGTAGTGTAGGGGATAGCAAATCAGCATTGGGTTGGATCAACCAGGAAGAAGTGCCCTGGTTCTAGGGGTGGCCCTCAAAAGGTAGTCTGTCATTTGTAGATGGTGTCTAAGCGTGTGCATGCTCTGAATCTGGGCTTGAGTCAGGTTGCCGCTGATTTATGAAGGGTGGGGGTGGAGTGGGAAGAAATTCAAGACATTGGGAAATAAAGTCACATGAAGTCAGTTGTTTCCCAAAGCATAGATGGAACATTTCAGTGTAGTAATCAAGATCTCTAGCTTTACAATTGAACGTCTGCCTTCATTAACTAACTATGAGAACCTGGGTCAGTTTCTAATACCCACTTCATAAAGATGTTTACTAAATCAGTTAATTTATGCAAAACAACTTGATAATACTAGCATGTGGTATGCAAATAGTAACAGGTTTTACTATTGAGAGGAACCACAAGTAACCTTTAGAGACAGAAGCAGCAAATTGTAGTAATATCTATGTTAAAAATTTTGCTCTCAGCACTTAGCATTAGTAGAATTTAACTTTAAACCGTTTTATGTATCTATGTGGTCAATTTGATCCATAAGAGTTAAGGGTAGTTGGATATTCTACTTAACCAAGATATATCATTATGCTACAAGGAGATTAAAATTCAGTGGCTTGCATTACTTTTAGGGGGAAAAAAGTTATACATTTGACTCTATAGACTCTGGCTCCTGCCTGAGTCTTTATCCTCATCTGCAATTATTTTTCCTCTTAGTTTCTGCATTCCAGATATGCTGGCATTTCAAATCCTCTAAGGCCTGTCCCACCTGTATCAGGACCTTTGCAGAAGCAGTTCCTTTTGCCTGTCCATACCTCTCCCACTTTCACCCTACCCAGCACCCAAGCAGACACTTGTTTGTTAACTCCTGTTCCTCTTTCAGAATCTAGTCCAAATGATATTTCTTCAGAGAAGCTTCTTTCCCTGCCTCTTTCCCTGCTTGGATTGGGCAAATCTGTTGTACATTCTCAGAAACACTTATCATAGTTTTAAAGTACCCATGTGGGGGGTTATTCACTCCCCAACTAGACTAAGTATCTAGAGAACTGGGGCTGTGCTTATTGCTCTGTCCCTGTCACATTGCCTCAGATATTTTTTTGAATAGTAAAGAGAGTCTGAAAAGGGAGGGCTCTTATTTGAAAAATAAAATACAGAAATAGCCAAAACACTTGGTGGCTGGATATGAAGGGCATAATGGTTGCTTTGGCATGATGCCCTGGTTCTCTTTAAGGTTAAGCACTCATTTCTCCAGATGCTGACAGTTTTGGTGGCTGATGGCTTTCAGCCAACTCCTCCAGGAATATCCCTCAGCAAAGACAGCCACCAAGGTCATAGCCCTTCTAAGATCAGCTCACATCCAGTGTCAGATTGATTGGGGGGGGGTGTGTCTGGCCCATGGTCTCAACGTGGAACAGTTTTAAAGGGCCATCCTGGTGCAGAGCTCACCTGGTACAGAGCAGCAGCCACTGTTAAAACTGCATCAAGTCAACTCTTCTCTCCCCATTCAACCCCTTGTCCCTCAACCCTCACAGGTGCTGTTCCTGAGAGCAGCCCTTAATAAACCACACAAATCTCAAGAGTCTGTTTCTCAGGGAACCCAGTTCACAGCCGTGATGGAGAAAGAGAAATCTATGGTGGCTCCTAGATTTGTGGCACAAGACATGAGGTCATCTACTGAGATGAGAAAGACAATGTATAGAAGCTGCAACATGGATACTAGAAAAGAGACATTTGGGAGGGCTAAATCTAAGGTAACTGTGGGAGAGCCAAGAGTCTGACACTCAGGGGAAAGACCTGGGCTATAGGTACAAATGTTGAAGTCACTGGCACACCAAATCAATGACATCAAAAAGATCTAGCCCTCCACCACCATGAAGATGGATAGAAAGAGAATAGGACTTGAAGTGACCTGGAAACCAAAGGAGTGGCAGGGCAAGGAAGACAAATTCGTGGCAAAGAGTGATCAAAAAGGAAAAACAGGGCCTGGGGTTGTGGCTCAGAGGTAAAGCGCTTGTCTAGTATATGTGAGGCGCTGGGTTTGAGCTTCAGCACCACATTAAAAAATAATAATAAAGGTATCGTGTTCACCTACAACTAAAAAATAAAAACGTTATAAAAAACAGGAGTGCATGCATTAAGAATACGATGAAGCTGCTGAGATTTACAATATCACAGGCGGATGTGTCAGGCACTGTAGAGAATGTAGCACGGAAAAGTGCTCATTGGATTTAATGAGAAGGTCATTGAAGACTTCAAGGGAGCAGTTTTCATGGAGAGAGTAGAAACAAGCCAGATTCCAGTGAATTGAGAAATTGATGGGGTGCGAGAGGTGGAGGAAAAAAAATGTAATGAACTTTTTATAATTTTCACGAGATGGAGCAAAGGAACAAGGAAAATGTGGATGGCGAGAAGCAGAGGAAACCAGAGTGTATACTTAATAGTTGGTGTAGGAGACAGACGGAAAAAGGTCCGGTTAGGAAGGGAGAAAGTGAAGGCCACCGGAGTAGCTACTAAGGAAAAGTTCTTTAGTAGGTGGCCGATGATGGAGCACCCAAGCCTCATCTTGGGGAGGAAGAGCCGGATTCTGGCACTTGAAGATGAGTAGACCCGCGAGCAGGTAACAACGGCTGCAACTTATTATGCTCCCTGAGGCACCAGGAACTTTATTAACCTTTATTAAATCCTCACAAATCTACGTACCACCCCACGAGTCTCCAGAAAGTGGTGCTAGGGAGCAGGGGCCCCAGCTGATAGGCTCCTCCCTCCCCGAACACCGCCCACGGCTCAGGTAAAGTTTCCGTCGGGGCGGCTGTGGAGGGACGTGTTCCCTAAGGCTTCCAGAAGCCACCCATCACTCGCTGCAACCGGTGTTGCAGGGAGTGACGAGAAAGGTCTGCATTTTCCACCGGAGGCGCACCGGCGGTGGAGGTGTGTAAGGCTGAAGCTTTTGGACGTGAAACGGGAGGAAGGCGGTGACGCATGCGCGCTGCGGAACGACAGTACCAGCCCGCTCCACTGCGCAGGCGCCGAGTCCTCCGGCCTGGGCGTTTCTTTCTGGTTCCTTAACCCAGTGCAGGCAAGTGTGGGTCAGCCGTTTTATTTCCAAGAATTCATGTTAATAAGTTGGTGGCAGTCTAACCTGCCACTAGGAAACTTATTAAAATACAGTTACGTACAATGTGATGAACGATGTTGTTTCAATTCTCTTGTTCTCTTTATAGTTGAAAGATATTCTTTGCCGTGTTATTTATGATTGATGACCAAGCTTTGCAGTTTCCATCCCATCCGTTGAATCAAATTTAGGAATAAGTTGTTCTTATGGTGATAGCAGGGCCATGGTGAATGTTTTTGGCGGGGTGGGGTGGGGGGGTCAGTGGTAGGAAGCTGGAGTGGCAAAGAACTCTTAGGAGTTCAAGGAACTCTTAGATCCTCCACTTAAGAGAGATGAGGAGACCTTAGCAGAAGGGGGCTAGGAGCTGTTCTGTTAGATTCAGACGCTGAGGTGGTGTTGTCAGTGCCTGCTGCAGCAAAGGAGGCGCCTCAATCTCTGTAAGAAAAGGAATCAGCCCTGGGAATTTGACATACCTGAAGGGCGTCACTGGCCTCCAGATGTCCCAGTTGGTGGGCAGAGAGCAATCTGTTCACTCCTTGAACTAAAAGCCCTCTGTGTGGTCCCATGAAGGCCCCCTTTGCTAAATTTGAATTTAAAAGTAGGCCTCCCACACCAACACCTTTGTTTGAAGGTTCAGCAGATTTCTCCAAAGGAATTCCCACAGACTTGCCTTCCTGTCTTTTACCTTTTATATCTTCTTCATGGGCAGGATGATGGATTCAAGAAATTGTTAGCCAAGGCTTACATTGCAAATTCACCAGGATAGTCAGGTTCACTACTCATTTTGATAAATTGAGTTATACCGCCCAAGCAGGAAGAGTTTGGTTTATTGTTGCAGCATGATTGACTAAAACAGCTTGCTCAGCTCTATCCCAGAAACCAAGGCTATCTTTACATCAGACTTGTCTAAATCCTAGTTGCACCAAACAAGCAGAGCTCAATTCTGAGATATTCTTT